CCTCAAATCCTGTGTTCAGTTTGGGTTTCTCACTGCACAGAAAGATACTGAAGTGCTGAAGCGTGTCCAGAGAAGGGCAATGCAGCTAGCTGGGCACTGTGACGAGCAGCTGAGGGAACTGGGGAGTTCAGCCTGGAGAAGAGGAGGCTCAGGGAGACCTTATCGCTCTCTACAACTACCCGAAGGGAGGCTGCAGAGAGGTGGGTATTGGTCTCTTCTCCCAAGGGATGGGACAAGCGGCCATGTCCTCAATTTGTGCCAGGGGAGCTTTAGATTGGGTAATAGGAAAAATTTCTTCATGGACAGGGTTGTCAGGCACTGGAGCAGGCTGCCCAGCGAAGTGGCTGAGTCACCATCCCTGAAGGTGTAGTGGAGATATTAGCAGTGTTAGGTTAACGGTTGGACTTGATGATCTTAAAGGTCTTTTCTAATCTAAAGAGTAATATTCTATGATCCTAAGGGCTCTATTACCTTAGTTTATCATTCATAACTTAAATATCATCTGAGTTACTTCTTTCAGGTACTGGTTGATCTGTAAAGGATATATATTCTTAAATAAAAAATCGTTTTAGTTCTTTTTGAAAGAGTTGGTACTTTCTGTTATTAAATCTTGTGTGTCATAGGAAGAGTATGAAACCACAAACTACTGCAGTTTTTTTTCTTATTCCAGAAGTGCTAGGCCTCATGCGTGCTCAGGAGTTTATCCTCTTGTAAGCAATGAACAGGCATTGTGAAGCCTGTGCTGTATTGAGAGTTAGAACAGGTGTAATGTGTTGGAATCAGAGAGGAGTTCAGTCATCTGCTGATGTGTGTAATCCTGGGGTGACATACCAGACCAGTGGTCTTGTTTGTGCACGCTGGCAAACAAAACTTGACAAAACACGTTGATTTTTCTTTCTTCCCTTTCCCCGTCACTCTAGTGTAAGAAGATGGTGAGCTAAAAATGGACTTTTTGATCTTCTTTAGAGCTTATTTTAAACGAATCAAGTTTGTCCATATAAGAGAAATGCCCTTGATTTTTTTTTTTCTTTTTTCTTCTTAATGGAAGTTATACTTAAGAAACCTTTAAAAGGGATTTTGATGTTGAAAACCAGTTTTCTTTTGTGATTTCTTAAAGCACCGAGAATGCTGAAGATCTGGAACGTAGAGTATATGCAAAGCTGCTGAAAACAGACAGGGAACTGCTGTTGGTCTCATTGTCTGTACATGTGAATTCCCAAGAACATCACTTGCTGCTGGGAATGAAAGCCCAGCTCAAGGCTTCACTTCAAAGAAATGTGTAGTGCCCTAAGCTCTGACTTACTAATGTGTTGTAACCTGTCAATTTTCAGGTAAGCATTATGAGGACGAAGAGGAGGAGGATGCCCTACCTGACTCGGATGCCCTGCCAGACTCAGATGACGAAGTGGAGTTGGATAAGCCACGCCCCATCCAAATTGTTCTTGCTCATGAAGATGACCATAACTTTGAATTGGATGAAGAAGCATTGGAAAAAATCTTGCTTCAGGAACACATCAAAGATCTTAACATAGTAGTTGTGTCTGTAGCAGGAGCTTTCCGCAAAGGAAAATCTTTTCTGCTGGACTTCATGCTTAGATACATGTATAACAGGGTGAGTAATTTGGATTTTCCCTGCAGAGGAAAAGTTGTTTGGTATTTTAGTCACATACCTTTGTATTTGTTGACTTGAGCCCAAATACAGCAGGGCAAACTTCTCTTGCTTTTGGGAAAGGGGGGGTGGGGAAGCCAGCTACTCTGTTTCTGCTCTGAAGTGTGTTTAAATGATAGTTTTCCATTATAAATTTTCCTACAGTTATCAAGAGAACTTGTTGGTGTCCTGATGTAAGTGGGTATAAGAAGCACTTGAATGAGGGAGTGTTGTTGCCTTCTAGTTTAGCTTTGGGCAAGGGCTTATCCAAGAGGTGTCTTGGAGGCATCTTGCTTTGGCTTGATCTCCTGAAATCATATTGTAACATTACGTATTGTTGCATAGAAGAGTCTCATCAGGTAACTATTGGAGGACTAAATCTGCTTAAATCTAAGGTATGGCAAAAGGGAGAAAGTCTCCTGTTTGCTTAGAATGTGTCTCTGAGCAAAATCCAGGAACTCTAAAAATCCTTTTATCTCATTGGTATTAATGCCTGATCCAAAATTTAATTTCTTAGTTTGTAGGTTTTGGCTGGTGTTTTCTTGGTTCTGCTAAATTTGAACTGATACAGAGAAGGTGGGGTATGGCCTTCTGTGATACACACATCTGCCTGTCATCAGGTGTTGGTGTGTTTCTTGTAATCTGCACAGTGAATATTGACAATTCAGCATTTTGTTGCTTTTTGTTGCTCCATTTTTGTTGCTTTTTGAAGCTCCAAACAAAACAAAAACAAACGAACAAAAATGCAAACAAAACCGCAAAACCAAAATGCCCCACCCCAGAACTGGTTACTGTTTTATTTGGAGTTGGAATTCACAGCAGCAGAAACTAACCACGACTGCATCCTTAGCTTTGTGATAGCTGGCTTGATGAGAAATCCAGGTGAGCCATGCGGTTACAGGAAACACGGGAATATTGCGAAGAAGCTGTTGGTAGTTGGCAGATGAGGACTTCCTTTCTCTCGCTCCCAGTAGTGCCTGCTATTGAATTCGTCCCCCTGGTTTGCCAAGAGCTCTCTAAGAAAGACACTGAGGATATAATATGGTTGGAGGAATGCAGAGCAGCGGGCTGGTGCTCCTGACTTGTTTTAGCCTAGGGAGGAATAGACGTTTCATTGATAGAGCTGTTCCGTGGGTGGCCTTTTCTCTGCGTGTGCGTGTATAAAACCCTCTCTAGTGTCCTGTTTATTTTAGAAATGAACCAAAAAACCCACCCCAAACTTCTAAAAGTATAGCAGTCTGAGCTAGATGGTGGCAGGGTAGGGGTAGTGCTAGTTCCTTCCAAAAATGGAACTGGTGGGTTTTAAGCGATTAACTTTCAGGTTTTGAAATAAAATCCACAAAGCAAAATGGATTGAAATACTGTTTTAGCCTGTGTAATATCATGTGTGTCTGTTCCCTTTATTATGCAATCACTTTTTCCAGTTTTCTGTAGGTGTCCTTCGAAATACCATTTGTTTCACTTACACTGAAGATGAAGGCAGACCTGGCCATCTGGTGTAACAACTATCTCTTACCAAAAGCAGAGAGGTCTTGCTCTGCATGTGCTGCTTCTGGCCAAGCATTTGCATTTCGCAGCTGTAATGCTTGTGGGCCCTTAGCTGAGCTGATCCAACTCGAGGCATCTGAAGACACTGCACATTGCTGAATTGTTTTCCTGCCAGCTTTTTTTTGAAAGAGTTGGACAAGCATCAGAGCTGCTGCAAACTGATGGATGAGTGTTGGGGATAAGAGGAGATAAGTGCAACGCCTCCTCTTGTGAGAACTGCTGAATTCTATCAAGGCTGATGGTACCCTCTGTAGTTCCACAAGTTTTGGTGCAGGAGGGAGGCTTTGGTATAGTTTTGTAATACTCTTTAGTCTGATTGCTCCATTTTCAGTCAAGCTTAATCACAAGTGTGTATTTTCTGTGAACTAAGTATTGGATCCTGCACAAAATGTTAAAGCATCTGCATTCAACCTGTGTGCTAATCAAGCAATTTCAGAATTTCCTCCCCTGTGGATATTAACATGTGTGATGGAAAACTTGACAAGATACATCAGAATCTCATTTTCTTGTCTTAAACCAAGAGCTGGCTGTCATGTGAAAAGTTACCATTCTAAAAACCTCGCTTGTGCCAGTCGAAGTCACGGGTAGGATGTTGGCATGGCTGAGGTTGGTGGCTAACTTCAGGGAGGTAGGCATCTCGTTTCAAGGGCTGATATTCAGTGTTATGGTTGCTCATTTGAAACAGAATAGTCTGCCACAAAGCTCCAGCCGTTGTGTACTTGGAAAGCTGCTGCAAGGATCCTGTGATCTTTGTTGCAGTTTAAGCCTTATTAAGATTTTTGGCATAGTAACAGTAGTAAATTTAGATTTTTTAGAAGCTTTTTTTACAGGGGCATGACCACATTAGCTTGTATTAATCTGCAAGGTGCACTTTGTACTAACAGCACTGTACAAATAAAGCTGCGTTGGTCCTTACCTTAGTGTGCAGTATATTTAGAGAGGTTATCTTCTGGGTGACTGATAAGAAATTGTAGTGCAACTTCAGCTTGATTTCATGTGGGAACAAAGTCTTTTTCCTTATTCTGTCTCTTGAATATCCTTCAAGCCAGCTTGGTGGTTGGAGACTGTTAAAATATTGAGGTTTTTAACAAAGAACAGACAAAGGTAACAAGCTAGGAGTGCTTCAAATGTATGCAGAGGTCAGTCAGAGACAGGCAGAAGTACATCCTTCCACAAGATGAAGCAGCTTCAGATGAAGTTGCTCTGGTTAAGACACCAAAGTCTCGTGTGGGATGGATCACACGTGAAATCAAATGTGGTCATATCTAGTGCACACTGAGGGACTTGTCAAAAGATTTGTCTTGTTTTGGTCTGAATTGCCACAAATATGGAGAATTTCTGGACCAAACTTGGAAAAAGTATTCTTGTATAAATGACAAATACGTCATATTGTTGAATAATGTAACAAATTCTTTTTAAAAAGTGAAAAGCTACAGTTCAATGACATATACCTGTGAAATATGATGCAGCGTTGTGCAACTCTATCCTGGAGTGTACTGAAGCCCAAAGCAGGCCTGGTGCTTTGATTTCTAGAGTGGTCAGTGAATGCATAAGCATCTTCTAGGATAAAAAACTCTAGGGGAAAGCTGTTCAGGTTTTGCTTAGTCTCTGTGGTAGAAGTATATGTGAATAACAAAACAACAAAAAAAAAACCCCAAACAACCTACCTGTAAAGAGCTGTGGTTCTCTTCCCTTGAATGCCTGTGTTCATTTTCTGATTTTTTTTTTTTATTCTGTTCATCACATTTACTTTTTGCCATGTCTGATCCTAATAGAAGAGTTGATGGTGGGCACTTAGCACTGGGGAGAACACTGGTTCTGAACCCCTTGATTGCCTTTCCCTCTTCGTATGGCTTGCTCCGCATGCTGCTAACCATGAGGAACACGTGCAGGTTTGTTTTTTTTTTTTCCCCATCCCCCTTTAGAAAAGAAGCAATTTCACTTATTTGTAGTAAGTACTCCTGTTCTGTACAGCCCCTTGGTGCTTGTGCTGTTTTGAGACATGGCGTGAGCTCTCTTCTGAAAACTGCCGGTGCAGGGTCAGCGAGGTTAGAGATCATAGCGTGGTGAATTGAGAATTCTCCCCTCTGACCTTCTCAAAGAGCACACTTTCCTGGCTGGTCGTCTTCTCCGGGCACTCAGAGTCAAATTCATTAAATGTCTCTCTGTTCTGCCAGCGTGCTGTGTTCTAGCCTGGGAAATAAATGTTTTTCTCTAAGCCCTCTCATCAGTTGAACTATTGTCTGCCTGCCGCTACACTCTTGTAGGATTTCAGTGCACAGCAGGAAGACTGAAACTTCCTCAGACTGCCTGTTCATGCTCTTTTCTTGCCCAGTACATAAGATCTGTTTCTGGTAGATGGGCTCGTGTAATGGCTGGATTCTTCTGCGTGAGCCACTGCTCCATGTGTTGACTTTCTGTGAGGACGGAAAACTTTATTACAGTACTGTCAGCTAGTAGTGTTAGCTGCAAACTGTACTTGAGTCTGCCAGCCTTTCCCAAAGCAGGCAGTGTGCCAATAAAATTTTAACACGTGGACCGGTTGATTGACATATATCAAGCTCTCAATGTGACCTTTTCTCTTGAATCCTAATCACTTAGGAAAAAGTATTTTGTAACTGTGAGAAGATAGTTTTTTCTCGTCCTTGATGATTCTCTTTGGCTTCTGCAGGCTGGTGTTGGGAGGCTTGTGCTGGCCTCTGTTAGTACGGGGGCCTAGATGCTTAGCTAGTCTCAGCAGTTGAGTGTGGTGAGGGGGAAGGGAGAGGGTTAAATCAAGTCCACTTTTTCATTCCTGTAGTTAAAATACATGCTGTTTACAATGGTGTTAGAGCGGAGTCCTCTCCGCCGTAAGAGGAGAGCGTGAGTGTAAAGTGGAACTGATGGACAAAACTGAGCTGTTCTCATTAGCTCTGAGCGCTTGAGACTTGAAAGCTGTGCACACGTGCTCTTCAGTGACTGAGGAGTTGTGCAGCTGCCGAAATACAGCAAGCTCCAACGATATTTCTTTGTGGATGATCCTTGAAACACCAGAATGGCATTGTGTTTTAATGTTGTCTGGTGTTGTCAGTCTGCGCTGGGGAAAATGGGGGAATAATGTGGAAGTCGGCTAAAATACAGCATTAAAAAGAAAAAAAATCCTCCTTAGTTTTAAATGACTTTCTCCTCTTGTTTTGTAGACTTCTCCTTGCTGGATAGGTGGAAATACTGAGCCACTGACTGGGTTTACGTGGAGAGGTGGATGTGAACGGGAAACGACTGGCATTCAGATTTGGAGTGAAGTGTTTGTAATTGATAAACCCAATGGAACAAAGGTAAGTGCTTGACTTAAATAGGTGTTATGTAAGGAATTTTGCCTCTCTGTGTGTACGTTTTAACATCATGGGTTTCATAGCAGCGGTTCAAACTTTGGTTGCTTTCCATTGCATTCAGTAGCTGCATAACATATTTGGAAATATTATATCAGTTCAAATATGAATTTTACAGGGCAGTCAGGCCCAGTCAGCATGTGTTTATGAAATGGAGGTCCTGCTTTTGACATACCCAATCTCCTGCTATGACAAGGTGACCTGCTTAGTGGATGAGGGAAAGGCTGTGGATGTTGTCAGCCTAGACTTTCATAAAGCCTTTGACACCCTTTCCCACAGCATTCTCCTGGAGTAACTGGCTGCTCATGGCTTGGACAGGCATACTCTTCTCTTGGTAAGAAACTGTCTGGATGGCTGGACCCAGAGAGTTGTGGGGAACGGAGTTAAATCCAGCTGATGGCCGGTCACAAGAGGTGTTGCCCAGGGCTCAGTACTGGGGCCAGTTCTCTTCAACATCTTTACCAATGACCTGGACGGGGGGGATCGAGTGCCCCCTCAGTAAGTTTGCAAGCAACATTAAGCTGGGCAGGAGTGTTGATCTGAGGGAAGAAAGGCTCTGCAGAGGGATCTGGACAGGCTGGATCGATGGGCAGAGGCTGACTGTATGAGGTTCAACAAGGCCATGTGCTGGGCCCTGCACCTGGGCCACAACAATCCCCTGCAATGCTACAGGCTTGGGGCTGAGTGGCTGGAAAGCTGCTTGGCAGAAATGGACCTGGGGCTTTTGGTCAACAGTGGCTGAATATGAGCCAGCAGTGTGTGCCCAGGTGGCCGAGAAGGCCAATGGCATCCTGGCCAGCATCAGGAACAGTGTGGCCAGCAGGACCAGTCGGGGGACAAGACCCTTGGAGTCCTAGTGGACAACAGGATGACCACGAGCCAACAGTGTGCCCACGCGACCAAGAAGCCCAATGGCATCCTGGCCAGCATGAGGAACAGTGTGGCCAGCAGGACCAGGGCAGTGATTGTTTCCCTGTACTGGGTACTGGTGAGACCACACCTCGAATCTTGTGTTCAGTTTGGGGCCTCTCACAACATACAGACACTGAGGTGCTGAAGCGTGTCCAGAGAAGGGCAGCGGAGCTGGGGAAGGGTCTGGAGCACAAGTCCTGTGAGGAGGGGCTGAGGGAACAGGTGGGGGGGGGGTTCAACCTGGGTAATAGGAGGCTCAAGGGAGACCTTCCCACTCTCTACAGCTGCCTGAAGCGAGGCTACATAGAGGTGGGGTTGGTCTCTTCTCCCAAGTGACAAGCGATAGGACAAGAGGAAATGGCCTCAAGCTGTACCAGGGGAGCTTTAAATTGGATTTTAGGAAAAATTTCTTCAGGGAAAGGGTTGTCAGGCATTGGCTGCCCAGGGAAGGGGTGGGGTCACCATCCCTAGAGGGATTTAAAAAACATGTAGACATGGTTGAGTGTAGACTTGGCAGTGCCAGGTTATCAGTTGGACTCAATAATCTTAAAGGTCTTTTCCAACCTAAACAATTGTATGATTCCTTCAGGTTTTTAATTTTCAATCACTAACTATAGTCCCATTCTGAGAGTACTTTGTTTTGGCAAAGTCTACTCTGTGCAGGCTGATGGGTGGGTCATCCTGTGGATGTTGTAAAACTGTAATAGCTATAAACACCAGATAAAAACAAATGCTTTGATAAGAACATCTCTGTTACTGACCCTGTTTTTTGGGGTGATGAGTTCTAGAATGTGTTTTAGCTTGTAGCTGTGTTCCAGTGAAATGGAATCAGCTTCAGTGTCTGCAAGCTGGTCCTTCCATGTATTTTAACAGGCAGTCTGGTCGTGTATCTTGAGCTATTCATGTTCTCTGGAACTGTAAGCTCTTGGTTATTTAACTTACATGTTCCCTTTGTGCTTGCGAGGGAAACATCTGATGGCCAATTAGTATGGGATGCTCATCTATAAATAGTGGCTTAGGGGTGAGAAGGAAGTTCTATCAAATTTCATAGCTAACCAAACACTTCTCCAGCTAAAAATCAGTTAAGTTGTGAGGATCTGTTTGGGCTCTGGGGACAAATCACTCGCTTGTTCTTGCTTATCAGTCATCTCTAACTGCAAGAAAGTGAAGGGAATTGTAGCTCCCAAAGATAAGAATTGGACAGATAAGTTAATCATTAAAATAACTTCATTCCTTGTCATTCCGGCACACAATAGGTATCAATTACCTTGTTTTCTTCAGAAAATGATTATTTAAGATAGGTATATTTTTAGAAGTGACCATTTGACTTGTAGCTCTAATGAAATATGCTGGCTTGTCAGCCGAGACTGAAGTTTTTCCAGTGAATAAGGACTGTCTGTTACTCTGTGTTGTACCCCCGCTGGGGGGAAGGCTATTCCTGTGGGAGAGGATAACTAGTGTAGCAAAGCCAAGGACTTAAGGCTGATGACACGGCCCTCAGGTTGTTGCTTGCTCAGCTGTAGGTGCGTATAGATATGTGCGCAGGCAGCTGATGAGGTTTAAGAAGCGGGTATTGGGGCAGAAACTTGCACTACTTGAAATAGAATTTATCCCAGTGGGCTGGAGTTTGGATGCGTTAACAATTTGGTTAACTATTGCTGCTCTTTAAAACTCTCTAGGTTGCTGTACTACTCATGGATACCCAAGGTGCCTTTGATAGCCAATCCACTATCAAAGACTGTGCAACGGTTTTTGCTCTGAGCACCATGACGAGTTCTGTCCAGGTGAGAATACCTGTGCTGGAAAACAGTGACAGCTAGAGGAACCCTCTGTCCTGAAAATGCAAAGAACACCTCCCTAGCCACGCTTTCAAAGTTCACCTGCATATCTTCCCCCAGCTATCATTTTAAGCTTTCATACTTATGTCTTGGGTTTAGTGTAGTATACTACATAAGGTCCTCTGGAATCAGGCTTATCCAAGGCCAAGCTGAGTGAAGGTGCTGACTGAACTGGGGAATCCCCCCAAAAAATGTCAAAGCAGCGATTGCTTATGTACAGATGTATTACAGGATCTTCTGGAAGACTTTAGATTACAGTTTGGGGTGAAATTACACGCTGATCAGCTAAACGTAACAATTGCTGCTACTGTTAAACCTGACAATTCTCTTGTGCTGTGCCCATAACTACACTTAAGCTTGTGCCTTAAACGTGACAAAAGTGAGCAGGTATTTGAGGGGTGACAAGTGACCTCCTTCAGACATGCTACAACATGAAAATGACATGAGTTATTAACAGGAGAGCTCCACTTCTGCCCTGTGGGGTAGGTTTTGGTGGTTTTGTTTTGTTTCTGCGGTTAGGATAAGTTGTGGGTTATTGATGCATCTTTGAATTTACTCCTGTTTAGTATCCGTGCTGTTGAAATAGTCATAAGCTCCCTGGATAAAACCAGGTTTCTGTGGGAAGATTTGAAAGTTAAAAAACCTGGGGAACTAACTACCCATTTTTCTGTTGGAGATGTAGCTGCTGAATCACTGAATCCTCGAGCACTTGGACTTGAGGATGACAAACAGACATGCCCTTCTTAATCCTCCTGTCTCACACCTCTGTGGTGATTGGAAGCATTCAGGAGTCTACTCTGATTCCTTTATGGCTTTCTTCCTTGGAAAGAAGCTTTTTAAGCAGGATTAGGGTAGTCAGGAGTAGTTTTGTCCCTAGCACTTTGTGTAAGGACGTGACTTTTGTTTGAGATGCATTCTATGACACCTTTCTAGTTGCTGGCTTTTGGGAGATCAGACTTTTCTGGAGGGAGAAAAAATACTCAAGATACCTAAAAAGATATTACACAGATGTAAGATAATGGTTTCATGTTACACTGTAACTCTTCTGCTGTCTCTCGCAGGTATACAACTTGTCCCAGAATATTCAGGAAGATGACCTTCAACATTTGCAGGTAAGAATATGCTGGATTTATAGTAAGATGCTTCCGGACTGATAGTCTTGACATTGTTCTTGAAGTTGCTACTGATGTAACTGATTTGGGAGCTGCCTGCTGCTTAGAATTGTAGAAGGGTTTGGGTTGGAAGGGACCTTACAGACCACCTAGTTCCAACCCCCCTGCCATGGGCAGGGACACCTTCCACTAGACCAGGTTGCTCAAAGCCTCATCCAGCCTGGCCTTGAACACTTCCAGGGATGGGGCATCCACAGCTTCTCTGGGCAACCTGTGCCAGTGCCTCACCACCCTCTCCAGGAAGAATTTCTTCCTGATATCCAATCTAAACCTCCCCACTTTCAATTTAAACCCGTTCCCCCTTGTCCTGTCACTACAGGCCCTTGAAAAAGTCCCCCCCCAGCTTCCTTGTAGCCCCTTCAGGTACTGGAAGGTGCTATAAGGTCTCCCCGGGGCCTTCTCTTCTCCAGGCTGAACAAGCCCAACTCCCTCAGCCTTTCGTTATATAAAACATACTTCATATAAAGTATTGAAGCTGACCTGATGCTAAAACTAGTGCTGCCTATAACAACATTATTTGCACTAACTCCACAGTGCTGTGATGCTTCTGCTGTGCCAGTGCAAAGGCAAAATAGTACAGGCTTTTAATCTGGCTAAATTGTGCCTTTCTAAAGTCTGTTCTCTGTATGGTAAGCATTGAAATTCCTGAACACGTGAGAAAGGAAAATGATTTATGGTGAGAAAATTCCAGTGTTTCTCCTTTTTCCCTAAAATAAGAAAATGGATGGTATCTCATCCCCAATTTCTCAAGGTGTGAGGGAGCTTGGGTAAGGGCAGAAAGAATATCTTCTGCCTAGAAGCCTTGCCTAGTTTTTCAACTGCGAAACTTCTACAGAGTTTTATTTCTGCTTAGAAACTAAAGCAGGAAAGAGTTGTCTTCCCCTTACTGTAGGGTTTTCATCCTCTAATGGAATATTGTGGTCAAAGGCCACTGAGTTCTGGCTTCATGTGAATGGTGCAAGAACCTTATCTCCTTAACTTAAAACCTGCAGCTTTAAAGACTAGCTTGTGTATTAACAAACGCCTGCCTGTGCTCAGGCCGTGACCTTGTCACGGCTTAAAACTGTTTTACATGTCTCCTGATTGAAAGGACTTCTGTCTTGGTCAGTGCTGCAAAAGACCGGCTGCCAATACTGGAAGTAGAAGAGCACCAACTAAACATAGTCTTGTGATGCTGCTCTCAGTTAACAGAGTTCTACCACTGGTCCAACGCCCGTCCACCCCCCAGAAAAATCCCCAACCAAGCACTGCAAACAAAGAAAGCCTTAGCTAATTATTTAAAATCCAGGCTTTCCTCGTGACCTTGGTCCTTTGACAGCCCCAGTGCAATCTGAATAGAGCGATATGCAGGAGGGTGGGATTTGAGGGAAGGCAGGGAAGAGAAGTGTGATACATATAAGGAGTGGGTAGGGGACACCCCCCACATTTAAAGGTGGGGCAAGGAATTGAGGGCTGAGGGAAGGAAATTCTGAATTTCTGTTACAACAGGAATTTCTGTTGTTCTGAAATACAGTTAGTCTCTGGATGCCTTTTCCATGTGTCAGGGAAATGAATGGGATAGGGTGTTAGGATCAAAGGAGCCAGTCTCCTGTGGGTGCTTGGCCCCTTCAGAGCTGCTTTTGCTCAGGGTGACAAGGGCTTGAAAGTTAATTTGTGTTCATTAGTCTTGTACGTTCTCAGTTGCTTTTGTGATCAACACAGGGGGAACTGTCCTTTTAGTCGTGAAACTTATCCGATGTGTTCCAGGAGTTAGTTTTAATGCAGAAGAATAGTTGCCTGGTACTCGAGGTTACCGGTGTGTTTCCTTCATCTCGACCCCCGAGATCTGTAAGGGGGCTAGCATGGATTAGCACCTGGCAGTATTGACCCCTGATGGCACAGCCAGTGCAGTCCATAATTTCTGTTCTCCTGGGTTGGCTGGCCGGCTCAGTCCACTGAAGAACTGCTGGTGGTAGTGAAAGGAAGACAGCTGACACTTGCCTTTGTACTGGGAGGAAACAACAGTCGGGCTGAAACGTAGAGATCTGGGGAGCTGCTGAACTTGGCTTGTATTTAAATGCCTGATACGTTGGCTCTAGCCAAGTTCCTTGAGATTTCCAGGAGTAAATCTTTTGTGAGAAGTAAGGGGCAAATGTTAGGCAGGCTTACCTCCTTTGCTCAGGAAACAAGTGTTGGAAACTGGCTTGCTGAGAGAAGCAGCCAGGTTCTCTCTGAGAAGAGCCCACAGGCTGCCCACTTCAAGCTGCAGTGTGGTGACTGTTAGGGAATGACACGGTGGAAGTGGGGTCTCCTTCCTGGATGTTACTGAGGATTGGTGTGTTCATGAGGTGCGTTGGCCAGCCTCAACCCGTCGTAGGATTATAAGATTAAATGCTTTCTTTTCCAGTGACAGAATAGACTATTTTACAGTCGAAAAATGTTTTATATGTGGCACCCTTACACTTTTCTTTCTATTAGTTGTTTACAGAATATGGAAGACTAGCTATGGAAGAAATTTACCAAAAGCCATTTCAGGTAACTATATATGTTAAATGGATCTTAAGCAATTGAATGTGTATAAAATGAGCTCTGGATAATTTATGAAGAGAAATCAGTTGGGCTGAAGCTAGCCTGTTCTTTAAAAGACTGACTTTCCTTCCCTGTCACCACATTTCTTGGCAAAAACAATGGAAAAACGCTGAAGAGGATCACGTTTTGGGCAAGTATAGCTCTGCGTCCGAGTGACACGGCATGGAAGGAATGAAAGCGTCAAGTGATGTGGAGACGTTGGGGAGAAATTTCGTACTGCCTCGTTACTCTTTGAGATGTGGTTGGTCTTTGCTGGTGGTACACGGTTCTGCGTAAAGGTCGCGTGTGCTCTCAGAAATAGCGTTGAGGGAGGGCTGCGTCACATTTAATTTACTTGAAGCGTTACTGGCTTTGGTGTTAAAGTCTCAGAACTGCCGAGAGAAGGGTTTGAGGCTTGCTGTGTTTAGCGGAGACAGACTGAGATCTCTTCCATCCTGGAATATCCTCCTTAACCTATGAGGGTACTAGTCGACTGCTGTTAGTAGTGAGTTTTAAGACTTGTGTCACAAGAATATTCAGATGGCAGCTGTGAGTCCCCAGTGTTCTTGTGATTGGCCCAGGCAAGGTTCACGTCATCGGAGACAAGAGTAATGTCAGGGTTGGTTTGCTATCTTCAGCTGATGGAAAAGAGGACAGTGTAGTAATAATCCCTGTGGGACAGCAAAAGGCAAACCTGTGGAACAGGGAAGCTCTTTTTGAGACACTTGGGTACAGCCTTTCAGATAAAGAATGAATTGAATTGGTGCGGTTGGTGTGTGGGGTTGCTTGTGGGATTTTTTGCTTTCTAAACAAGCAGACATTTGCACCACAAACCTACAAGGCTACTTCACTGAGGGCAGACAGCTGAGAATTTTTTTTTACTTAGAATAACCACATGTGTGATAGAAGTTTAGACCTTAGGAATGATGCAAGCCATTCACTGCTGTTCTTCCTGTTGCAGACACTAATGTTCTTAATTAGAGATTGGAGTTATCCTTATGAACATGCATATGGCTTGGAAGGAGGAAAGAAGTTCCTAGAGAAAAGGTTGCAGGTGAGTTATCTCCAGTAGCCCTGGTGTGGTCTGACTTAAGTGACAACTTCCCATCAAGATGATGGCGCACGATGAGCTGACCCTTTATTAACACAAAGGACATTTGTGACATTCCCACTCCAGCGCAGAGTTCTGGGGTTTAGAGCTCCACATTTTTAGGTTCAGGAGTGAAAGCTTAAACACACTTTTGCTCTTACTGCTTTTAAGCTGGTACCTGATCTTAACTGCAGCACTGCAAAACTATTAGCAGTTCTTACTGCCTTGTTTTTTCCTCCAGGTAAAGCAAAACCAACACGAAGAGCTACAGAATGTAAGGAAGCATATTCACTCCTGTTTCAGTAATCTTGGCTGTTTCCTGTTGCCCCACCCTGGTCTTAAAGTTGCAACAAATCCAAATTTTGATGGGAGGCTGAATGGTAGGAAGCTTTCCATTGTGTTTTTCTTGATTCAGATCACTGAGTTGACGTTATTTTAGAATGGAATTTAAACACTGATATGGTTGGCTATTGAATTACTTGTTTAGAAAAAACGTAAGGGAAGCGACAGAATCTAGAAATGTGCACTGAGTGGTGTTTTCAGTGGTTTGAAGGAGAGGAGTTAAGCAGGTAGAGGGAATGGATGTCTTTTCTGTCTAGCTGTTGATTGTAATCTGATGACTTTAGAAATATACTTTAAGGTCATTAAATAAGGATTCTGAAGACAAACAAGGATTCCAGATTTCACAAAATTAAAGACTTTCTTAAAATTGAAAGGCTTTTCTGTAACAACTTGCTAAACCAAAGGTCAGAACTGGAATGACTTTAAAATAAAAGCTGTAGGTTTCCGCGCCTGCGGAATGAGAGGCAGTCAGGATTCCTCCAACTGCTTCTTGTCCCCCAACAGAGGGATGTATCAGAGTGGCAGAGGCTAAAAAAAGCCTGTCTGTGATAGCGGGATGCCAGCTACCTCTGTGCTGAGGACACAGACCTGTGGGATTATTGTTTAAGGCGTTGGTAACTGGGGAAATGCACTTTAAATATTACAAGGACTATGGAACCTAGTTCTTTGAGTTGGAAGTGAAAATTAAAGAGCAGGTAGAACTTAGGAGCTACATTATGTATTTAAGCCTTTACATATAGAAAAAAATGTGATCAAGAGTTGTGATGCTAAGCATTCTGAAGAGTCATAGGTTATCGTTGTTCCTTTAGGAAATGTAAGATTGAAAAGAAAACTAACCACTTTTTTTTTTCCTGCAATTGATTGAATTTTACTAGATATAGATGAGGATTTTAAGAAGGAACTGCGGAATTTGGTACCGTTACTGCTTGCCCCTGAAAATCTGGTAGAAAAAGAGATTAGTGGATCCAAGGTGACCTGTAGAGATCTTGTAGAATACTTCAAGGTAAGCAAACTCATACTAATTATTTCTGTTAATGGCTTAAAAGAAAATATTCTAATTTTGGGGCATGTTGTTCCCAGAGAAGATACGATATCTAGGCTGACACTTACTGATCAGCTCACTCTTTATTTTCATTTCATTAATCTGATTTTCCAGAACTGGCACACAACTTCCTAACAGTGTAGCTTTTCACAATTTTGCCAATAGTAGCTTGCTGTGTGTGGTGTTCTGTGTGGGTGTGTTTTTCCTTCCTTTGAAATCCTGATTTGTCTCGATATGTTGCCTTTGTTTTTTTTCTTTAAGAAAAAGAGGTCTCATGTAGATTGTACAGACAGACCAGCTTTTAAACTGCTAGGTCTGCAGTGAAACTTTCAGATACTCCCCTTCAGATTTTTAACATGCAAGGAAGATGCTTGTTATGTGCAGCACCACTGTATGCTCTGAGATATTTGTGTATGATACTTGCAGCTGTTAGACTCTTGAGCTGTTTTGGTCTCATGGTGACACCAGCAGAAATGTGATAACATAATCCCTGTATCACCAGGAATTGGTCTGGTGTGTGTGACTTTTTTTTTTTTTTTGAATTGGAATGACTTGGACAGTTGTTTTGGTAGGATAAAGTAGCACTCATTCCTAAAGGCATTAATTTTGCATTGCTGCTTTTGAGCATGTATGTTGAAGGTAGAACAGAGTTGGGTTGATGTTAAAAAAAGCAGCTGTGCAAGGGAGGAATCCAAGGAAAGAAGAGATGAATGATATGGGATGCTTCTGACAAACCCAAAATCAACACTCTGGAGCTCATACATTCAGTCTGTGTATTTACATGGATGCATGCTGCTTCTTGTTTCGCTTTCTGCTCCAGAAAGACCTGGTCCTGTACAGTGTAGGCAGTGTGCATTCACCAGCAGTTCAGAAAGGACTTCATGCTAGAAACCGAGTGTAAAACCTCCTCTGTTTAAAAAAACAGCTGCTTGCTTCACGTCCTGTATCCAGCCTGGCAGCAGTCATGCAGGGTGCTTGGGAAACACGGTGGTTATGTAACTAAAGAGGACTGCTCCCCTGGGACTCTGCATCTGAAGCCGAGATCGTGAAGTCCAAGCTGGAAACTGGAGGGCTTTTACTTGAAGGAAATAGCTACAGGAGCAAGGAGGGTGTCGAGGGAACAAAGTCCTGTATAACTATACATTTTTGTAGGTTGTCCTACAACCCGGAGCATTGGGTATATAGGCATCCTGCTAACCTTGTTCTCTCCTCCTTGCATCCTCAGAGCAGAGGCATGTAGACGAGCCCAAGCAGTAGTAGCATGAAGAACAACTGCCCAGCAGGGTCTGAGGGGCTGAGAGTGGCCTTGTCGGTGTAACTCGCACAGCGTGTCCAAAGCGCCGAAACGGCTACTGCTGCCCGCTGTGTCCCTGCCCCTAACCCCTAATCCCCAGGAGCTGTGCTGTGGGCCGGAAAAGAGGACGTGAAAGATGTGTTCTCTTCCAGCCTTCTGAAACCCTGGCGAAAGAAAGGGCGCCGGAGGATTGCTGGGGTGGGGCGCAGAAGGGTGGGCTGCCTGCTTGGCTTCCAGAAGTATTTTGGCAGCTCAGCTCTGTCTCTGTTAATTCTTTGATCTGGTTTTTTTTTTTTTTTTGCTCCCTTGAAGTGTGGGAGGAAGGGCGTATGGCGAGATGTAAGCACCGGTTCTCTCAGTACCAAAGCTGTGTTTGGACAGGCCTCCTGCCAGGAAGGCTGTGTGAGAGAGTTATCCTCACTCCCTGGTTTGGGGTGAAGATTCTCTGCCCAGCAAAGACCTCCTTAGGTGTTTGAGGGAGCAGAAACTTGCTGTCAAGCCTGTCACTTGTTAAGATAGTGCCCATGTCTCCTCAGGATACTCTGCTACCCTGCTAGGCCCCAGCCTCAAATGCAGAGGAAATTCAAGGGATTAAAACACTAGGGATAACTCTCTAAGAAAGCCAGACTTCTATGAAGAAATTTGCTTAATTGAATATTGAGCATTATTACAGAGAAATAACCTGTGAGTTCTGTCTTTTTAAATCATCTCTCCTCCTCAATTATAGATGTTTAGGATAAAGAAACCTTTTTTTTTTTCTTTCTCCCATTTAGGCTTATATTAAAATCTATCAAGGAGAGGAGCTACCTCATCCAAAATCTATGCTGCAGGTATGTTAGTTTTGTTGGAAATAATCCAACAGACAATGTGTACTTCTAAATTCTTGGCAGCTGAAGATCGTGACTGCTGTGGGTTTGAAGCTTCCACACACGGAGCTGTAGTTCTTGAGGAGCTGTGTCTTCTGAGGGCCATTAGAACTGTGTAGCCAGGGTACGCGTTTGGGTCTTCCTTCAGTTCCATCTACCAAACGTAGCAGGGGTGGATGTGGTCGGTTGGGGTTTTTTAGCTGCTTTGATTTCTAAGCATGTGTTTCCTGTAACTTGCTCTTTTGTCAGTATCTCAGACTGTATGCAAAGGGCTTTTAGCACCAGATGCAGCAGATGAAATGGAGAAGACGCACAGTAATGCAGCTGTTGCCGCTATCCTGCAGCGCTGGGCTGCTCTGTGTGGGTTTGCTAGGTCGGGTAACTGCGTTGAGGTTTCTCTTCTGGGTTGACCCAAAGAGGATGTAATCAGCTTTAAGCAACCTGAGCACAAGCTGGTTGTATAAACCTGTGTGGTGAATCCTTGAGTTGTTTGGGATGAGAAGCTTTCACCAAAGTCTGGGCTTTAGGGTCAGTTGTAACCGTTTCCTGTTTGTAAGACTTGGGTGTTTTTTTTAAGCTTCCTGCGTAAGTTCATGAAGATACGACTGTTCTTGGTGTTTTCTTACCCTTCAAGGAAGCAAATCTAAATTTAGACTTTTGGGGAGCTCAGAAACTCATCACAACGAAACAAAGGCTGCTCTCCTTTCCCCCGCTTGGCATGCCATGGCCGGGAGATGGAGAAGATGACATCTTGCAGCATTAGCTAGAATAACTGTCCCTCACGTGACGCAGGTTGAAAATGGTCTTAAATTCTGACACTGGGACTGCGCAGATATAATGTGTATATATAAGATATAATGTAGAAATAACACCAACTTGCTTCTTTCCTCACGGGTAGTGATGTGTCAGAAATAACATTTAATAAGTTTAGTGCTCCTTATTTGCTTATTAACAACAGAGCACTCGGAAGAGATGGCTCGTGGCGAAAAAGCCTGCAGAGGCACACAGGAGTCTGCCTGCAGCTGTGCGAGAAAGCTGAAGCCGGCATTCTCCTAGTCAGTAATGTGTGTTAATGCGCATCACTAACCTTCCCTTGGTTTTCTGGGGCACTTTCCTGGCGATCCGCAGCTTTGGGCGTGTTGGGGGTATGTTGGGCGGTGTAACTGCACGTATGTAACTGGCTGGTAACGCTGTGATCATGCACGGTACTCAATGTTTTCCAGGCAACAGCCGAGGCAAACAATCTTGCTGCTGTGGCAGGAGCAAAAGACTTGTACAGTAAAGGCATGGAGCAGGTACGATGACACAACTATTTCTAACTGCCAACACATGAATACAGGCCTTCCGTTCTCATGCCGCGCTCGGTGTTGGTTGGGAGCACGTTAGCAGGGAAGAGTCGCTTAGGGCCGGTACTCCTGTGTGTTCTGCGCTCTGCTCGGAGCTTGGATGTCTGATGCAGTGATACCAGGATTCTTGGAGACAGAAATTGCTGGGGAGGTATGGGAATGGGTGTGTTTGTCAGACGCCACCTGCTAGTTCCCCCTGTTGCTCCTGCAGGCATCTTAAAAGCCTGTGAATGAAATGGGCAAACAGGTGAGGAGACCCTTGGTGGCCCAGGGTCGCATAAGAGTGGAGTTCTAGTATTCTAGTCTCATGCTTCTGAACTGTGGTCATTCACTAGCTGTAAAATGCAAGGATTAAAATGATTCTAAACTTTTTAAAAAGAAACACCCTTGAAATGAAAGATTGTCTTTAAAAGCTGTTTATATAATTTCCTACTGTCGTTTTTTCTTGAAGGCAGTGACTCCACTTCAAGCTGAATCTCTGGGTGGACTTTGTACTTCAACATAGCGTTATGCAAGGTTTTGCATAATACAGAAAACAGTTACGCATCTCCTAAAGCTTAACAGGACTGTGCCTGTTGTGAAACTCTGCAGCTGGAAAAGACCAGTAGGCGTGATAACCCGCTACAAACAGCTCCCCGTTAACTAGGCTAATTCTGGTCTTAATCGCTGAAGTAGCTTTCCGTTTTGACATGAGAGAGAGACCTAATGCTGGTTGGCAGACTAGCCAGTTCCAGTTGTTAGCAGGCTGTTCTGAGAATGCTGTGCTGGTGTAGAGGGCCTCCTTTGTTTGTTTCTGCTTTGGAAAATCTCTTGAAATAGTAAATGGGTTGTTTATAATAAATGCCAAGTCTCCCTTCCTACCTTGAATCTTCAGTGGCTGTTGAGGCACTGTAGTTGTACTACTTGGGGCAAGGAATAAACAGGAGCAGATGTGCTCTGAAACAGACTTGGTTTCCATAGTAATGTTCCCCAGTACTGCGTATTTTTATGTCGCTGCAGAGGTACACACAAGTGTCTTGGCTTGTTTTTATCCAGATGTCTCAGATGATGTTCTTAATGTGACACAGCCCTGAAACTCCTATTTTTAGGAACAGAAGCGAGAACTCTTTGAATTTGACTGGATTGTGTAAAGATAGTTCTTACTGTGGCTTCTGAGTTCTGGTGAACCAAAGCCCTTCGTGGCTGAGTGTGCGTAACCAAAGTACTGTCCCCCAGTGACCTCAACTGCAGGGAACAACAGGCGCAGTCGCACGGTGTAAGAACACAGTGGCAGTTACTTGTGTGGCCGTCTTGGTGCACCAGCAGCGCTCGGTGTTTAACCCTCTGGGCAGTGAGAAAGGACCATTTTGGAGGATAAGACTAGTCACCGTTTTCCAGAGTTCTGCCAGACGTGGAAGACTCCAGTATGGAAAAAGCAGAAGGGTGCGTGCTAAACTTGAGCAAGGGGCAGAGTGGGGGTGTCTGGATCCCAACTGTGAGGTTGGCCTGGAAGGTAGCCAGTGAAGCCATGTGGCTTGTGAGGCAGCAGGAGGGATGCTGTACTCC